AACCTTTTTTTTTAAAATTTTCCGTGCGGCAGAGGGTGACATGGAGGGTGTCATTAAGTCCATGTAAACATCTTTGACATGTTGGCATATCCACATCAGCTGTTCCAGTTAAGTTAACGTGCCACGTGAGCAAAAATTGACGGAAGGACTTAAAAGCGGCCGGATTTTAAGATTTAGGGATCAAAAAGGGGATTTTTCGATACAAGGACCAAAAATGGGCTTTTTCCTATAGTAGAGGGACCAAAAAGGGTATTTAACCTTTTAAAAATATATCATTTTAACATTTTTTAATGGAAGTTTAAAGAACTAATGTAGTTTTAGAATATTTATCCTCCTAAATTTTTTATGTTTGGCTAATGAGTATCTTGCATCAATTGCTTCCTTGATTATATTTCATTTTAGCAAAATCTCTTTGCTTGGAAATCTATCCTAGCAATAAACAAGCAAAAGTGCAAACTTTATTTGGTATAATAGGAATCTAGCACTTGTTAAGAGTCACCACATCCTCCTCTTCCTCCACTAATGTAAGTAGCTTGTATATAGATTTAATGGAGTAATGCCCTTCTTTTTCATGAGTTTAGCACCATCTATCTTCTAGTTATTACGTTGTGTGGTTACTATTCAATAAGTGTAGTAGATGATCTGCTTGGTTCTCCTTTTATGCATGCAATTTCACCTCCATCATAGCTTCTAGCTCTATGAATCCTCATACCAAAATCCCATTTCTTGCACTATGCTCCACTTATCTATAGAAAGAGAAAACAATCTTGTAAACAAATCACATAACTTCCCCTCCCCAATCCACCCATCAAACAAAATGACACATTTTTGCCATCTCTTAAATTGACTTTAAACCCATATTTTTGCAAATCCACCCTCTTGTCTAGTAACCAGTTTATACTTCTAATATCCTTCCGCCATCTTGACCCACCCTTATTCCCCTCACTCACCCAACTCAACCAAGTACCCCTATATTTATTATATTTTGCACTTGAGACTTTTTCCCATAACCCTACATGCTCATTTGCAAGTCTCGATGACCATTTCCCAAGTAAGGCCAAATTAAATATTCTAGGATCTTTGATTCCTAGCCTTCCATCTTTTTTTGCTTTTGTAGATTTTTTCCCACTCTACCCAAGCTATCTTGTTTTTCATCTCACACCCCCTATAAAAAGCCTTCTTGATCAAATCAATCTTTTTAATGATTCCAACAAGGATTAAAAAGTAGATATAAGGAACACTAGGAGGCTAGTTAACACAGAGTTAATGCAAACAATCCTACCACCTATAAATAGGTATCTATTTTTCAAGCCAAGTAGCTTTTGTTCAAATTTATTCACCGCCAATACTATCTAAGTACTCCTCAAGTGAGCTTCAAATAGCATTTTGAGGTACTACATTAGTAGCTTGCTAGGTTTACAATGTCAAATATAGGGTAAGTGTTGTATTTCCTCCTCCCCCACATTCAAGATAAATAGTAGGGATTTATTGTAGTTGATCTTAAGGCTAGAAACTAGTTCAAAAGTTCTCAATATGCATTTGATGGACTTGATGTTCTGTTCACTTGTTTGACTAAATACTAAAGTGTTACTCGCAAATTATAGATGGGTGATCATGATGTTGCTAGATCCAACTAATACTCTTATAAATAGATATATTTTTTTTCAATAGCCAAATTAATGATGCCATTAAGACCCTTTGCAACTACAAGAAATAAGAAAGGAGAGAGGGGATCCCTTTCACTGGAGACCTTTACTCACTTTGAACTCCTTAATCACGCTGCTATTAATCAAGATTGAGATTGTACTAGAGGTGAGACATTCTCTAATCCAATTTCTCCAAACCACACCAAAACCAATGCAAGTCAACTTGTAGTCCAAGAAATCCTAGGAGACCTTGTCAAAAGCTATTTCAAAGTCTACTTTGAAAATGAAGCACCCTTTTTTTTTATGTTTAATCTCATCGATGGTTTCATTTTCCATTATGACAATGTTCATCAATTGTCTTCCTTCGATAAATGTCAATTGGGATTCCCTTATTAAACCTTTCATCACTTTTCTCAATCTATTGGCTAAGAGCTTGGTAATGGGCTTATACATACATCTAATCAAGGAGATTGTAATCTTTTATTCTAGTAGGATTTTCCTTCGTTGGGGTGAGAACAATAAAAGAAGCATTCAATCCCTTAACAAGTTTCCCTCATTTGGAAATCAACAACAAAATCACAAATCTCCCTTTTCACCACCTCTAATATAGCCCTCAAAAATCCAAGGCTAAAGTTGTTAGGACCAAGGGCTTTTGAGCCATCACAAGCCTAGATTATTTCTTTAATCTTCTCATCCAAGAATGGTGAGGTTAACATTACATTTGGTTCTAGGATATCTTTCTGAACTCAATGCTATCCGACCTTATTCTTAACTAATTATCTTCTTTAAATAAGGACTCAAAATACTCCACTGCTCCCTTGTTCAAATCCTCGACTTCATGTAACTGAGCACCATTAATTTTGAGACAATTAATTTCATTGCGTTACCATCTTCCGCTAATACTTTGATAAAAAAATTTGGTGTTTGCATCCCTTACCTTTGCCCATTGTAATCTAGATGTCTACCTAAGCATGCTCTATTTAGCTTGCAAGGTTCACTATTGTTATATAGTACTTTTTCTCTTCAACTTTAGTTCATTTGATGGTAATGTGTGGGACTCACCTTTGTCATCTAATTCAACAATGATTCCTTTATAGTCAACAATGTTCTTATCAAGCTCACCATAATTCTCCTTGCCCCATTTTTTTCAAGAAAAGCTTAGTCTCTTTTAGCTTTTACTTTAATATGAAGCCACCCCAACCTTGCACCTGTATCGACTTCCATAGATCAACACCTTTGTCTTGAATTTGGGATGGCATAGCTCAGCATTAAAGAACCAGAAAGGTTTAGGGCCTCAATCCTTCACCTCATTTTCCAACAAAATGGGGTAGTGGTTTAAGAAGTTCCTTTTCAATCCTTACTATTTCATGCCTTCCATTTGAGTAGCTAATCTTCCATTAGTAAGAATCTATCTTGTCAACTCATAGCATTCCCATTTGGTTAACACCAAGTGTAATTCCTCCCTATCATTGGTAGATCAATCAATCCAAAAGCCTTCATAATTCCATGATGAGCTAACTTTTATATATATATATATTAATGTGAAATTTATGCCTTCATATTATTAATATTTAAATGAGTTTTATGTTATTTTACTCTTGATTTTATATACTTTTTATTCTTTGAGTAGAAAATGACTTAATTGGAAGAAATCATTACTTTTGAAACCAAAATGTAGAGATCATAAAGCTGATGACTAAGTTGCATGGAATTGAGAAGTTAGGTACCAAGACTACTATTTTGCCATTAATCAAAATTGCTTTAAAGGCCAAAAACCCAACTGGAGCTTTCGTTCAGAGCTTTACTAAAAGTGTTGGCACCTTGTTGAGGGTTTTGATCCCTTACGCAATTTTCAGTAAGTCCGTGGCAAGTTCTTACTGTTTTGACGTGGAATCAAATTAAGTTTTCTAAAATCATATAAAAATTTATCTAATATCAAAATTGAAGAACTTTGTTGGAGGAGCTAGTGGCAATCCTCTATTGGGTACTTTTAGAGATCGAGATAGAGGAGGTAATAAGGAATTTATCATTAATAAAAGATCCAATATTTCATTTTTTTCAAATTAAATTTTGGTTTTTCTTAGATTGTTTTTATTTATTATTTTATATTCTTATATTCATAACTATAATTTTAAGTTTTATTATTTTTATTATAAACTAATTTAGGATCTATTTGATATGGCAATTAAAATTCAATGAATAATAGTAGCCGATAATGGGCACTGGATGGTGGTTAGTGGGTAATAGGTGATAGATAACAAATAGCAAATAACAAATTGTGGATAGTGGGTGACAGCTAGTAGATAGTGAGTAGCGGATAGTTGGTAGTTGTTATTCAAAATCAAATAATTAATAAGAACATATTTGAAAACAATTAAGTGAATTTTTT